CCGATACCGTAATTTCGTCCAGTATCGCCCGATACCGATACCCAGTATCGGATCGGCACATCTCTAATAGATATCCATGTTTTCGAGAGGAATTAGAGAAATTAGAATGATTTTGCTGATCTTGACTCCTCCAGCGCTACCACGAGGTTGCGTTTTTAAGTCAAATGTCTGAGCAACTATTGGATGGACTGCCATAAATCTAAATGTAAACGTGTTTCTTTTGGTCTGGACCTCCAAAGACAATGCATCGGCCTTATCTGAAGGTGGTGTTTAAATGTTAATTAGCAGCAGCTCATTAGCCTGCTGATGTCAGCGTCACGGGAGAACAGCCAGTGATTGGTTGTTAATAGTTAGCAATAAATTACAATGTGTGATGTGATAAAAATGTAGGTTTTAATGGCAGATTTATGCATTTCTGTTGTTTATTTCATGTCTATGAGTCGACTCGATCACCCTCAAATTGTTCCATCAGTACAACTACTAAATCAAAGCTACGCATCGAGCATCCAGGTGGACCACATGTCAAACTGGTCTGACAGCTCAGAGACTTTCTCTATAACAACTCTGTTTTACCTAAATTCAACCAGACGTCTATAAAAAGCTTTTATATTAAAGTAAAAAATGTCCTGTTCTGTGCCGTAGCTGTCGTCTGTTCTCACACGGCGCTGATTCGGCCTTTACCAACCTGAGAGAGGACCAGTGTTCAGATTATTGAGGTCAGATTACAGTTCTTTCCAGACATCTGTCTCTGTCCCTCTGCAGCCCTCCCTCTCAGCTCCGCTAAGCCTGACGGGCTTCGGCCCACTTACTGGATATGGGCCTCCTGTCGTGTCAGCGCTACTGCTTTGTTGGGGGCCGACTAAATTAAATTAGACTAATGAAGAGACTTTTTGGGTTGTATCTGAGAGAAGAACTGCTTTTCCATCAAACCTAACTCGACGTAACTCTCGACTTGAATGTGAAATGTTGAGGATTCGTGGGCTTTGGAGCGGACCTGACAATGTGTTCCAGACAAAGTGGACCACTGCTATTAATACACCTATCCTGTGTCTCACATGTCATTTGGTGTCTTAAGTGTTACGTCAAGCGAGATTAGGCTAATAGGCTTTCTTGCACGCAGCCCATGAGCATGTCCTGCCCTCGCAGGCCTGTTTCACATGCTGGTCCAGGAACATGGACGCTTTTTGTGTCGCGTTACGTATCGCTTTGGTGTTTTATCTCATCACCCCTGGATCATCAGCTTGTCCGGTCGGTTGCTCCTGCACAGATGATAACCTGGGGAGGTAAGAAACCGCTAAAACTCTCAAAACTGTCGGGTTCTATGTTTGTTATGACCCAGTTCTGAACAACCAAAGTGTTGCTTTAGATGTAAGCAACTAGCTAGCATAGTCTGAAGCCTACAGATGATATCTGTCCGTAATGCTGCACATGCTATTTGAGTATACTAGATAAAATTAGCTTTCTCTTGTCAAACTATTTGTTCAACTTCAGGTCTTTACTCTGTATGGAAACCTCCATGGGACAAATCCCAAAGGACATCCCGGATGATTTCACTAAAATCCGGATAGAAAACTGCCACCTGACCGAGCTACCTCGAGGGTCTTTCTCTCAGATTCGTGCATTGGAGTTCCTCTGGCTGAACTTCAACGAGATCACCCTGATGAACATCAGAAGCCTGGAGGGGCTCGCTAACCTGACTGAGCTGAGGCTACAAGGGAACAAGCTGACTTCGGTGCCGTGGACCGCATTTCAGAACACGCCAAAACTCAAGATTTTGGACCTGAAGCACAATCGGCTGGATGTGCTACCTGAACATGCTCTTAGACACTTAACTGCACTGACCTACTTAGATTTATCCTTCAATCAGCTTAGTGTCATATCAAAAGAAGTCTTCATCAATTGGCCTCTTTACCAGACGGCAGAGAAGGCGTGGGGCAAAGAGGGGCTGGTGTCCAATGTGGTGCTGGCGCTGCACGACAACCCCTGGCTGTGCGACTGCCGCCTCAAAGGCTTCGTTGAATTCATCAGAGGGGTCAGCCCTCCTATCATCCTCATGAACTCCTATTTGACGTGCTCTGGCCCCGCCTCCAAAGCAGACAAGTTCTTCCACGAGGTCCAGCTGAAAACATGCATGAAGCCGGTGGCCTCTGCCCCAGAGACTAACATCACTTTACCTCTTGGAGCAAATGCAACACTCACATGCTTAGTCAAGGCCAGGCCCGGCCCGACTATTCACTGGATGTACAGTCTGAAGATTATAAGAGGATTTGCTGGTAAGATGTTTTTTTTTTTTATCACTATCATCCATTAAATTGTAGTGAACCTGCTGTCGGTGGCAGCGCTTACTGAGGCAGATCTTCAGCTCTGAGGCTGCTGTGTTTTATGAACACATACAGAAACAATATAAATACACCTGACATGTCTTTACCAGATATAAACAAGCCTATGATTTAAACGCAGCACTCTGATGCTCTGTTTTTTCTCGTTGCAGCCAAAGAGACTCAGGTAGACGAGGAGACTGTCACCTCTCAGCTGGTGATCCCCTCCCTTCACCTGGCAGACCGAGGACTCTACACGTGCATGGCCAACAACTTCATTGGCAACTCCTCCGTCAGCATCGCGCTCAGCATCAGCTCCTCCAACTCCTCCGCTCCTCTGCCTCCACCCGTTCCCATGCTGTCGTCTGACGAGAACGCCTACATCGACATCCGTATCGCCAAGCAGACGGTCTACGGCATCACCCTGGAGTGGCACGCGGCGACGGACAACCCTGCAGAGACCTGGTTCACCATCCACTTTGGCAAGTACGATTCGCCCAAGAAGGAGATGATCTACATCGGCCCCGGCATCAACAGCTACTCAGTCACCGATCTGCTGCCCGTCACCAAATACGAGGTGTGCGTGACCCTAAAGAATCACCCGCCGAGGGAAGGCCAGTGCATCGTGTTCGTGACCGGAAGTGACATCAGCGAGATGGAGCAAAGAGAGAGGCTCATCCACATCGTAGTCATCGTGTTGGCCATGGTGCTGGCAGTACCGGCCGGCATGTACGCCTGCACCACGGAGGCCCGGTTCAGCTGTGTGGAGCGCTGCGTGGATCTGTGGAGGAAGCGACGGATGCAGGGGGAGAACCTGCAGGGGACGGACAGGCAGGGAACCTTCGACAGTCTGCAGGCGGCCAGCGACGAGGGCCTGTGCAAGGACTCGGAGGAAAAGCCAAAGAAGAGGCGGAAGTCTGAGGACAAGTGCAAAGGAGGAAGTGCAGCTCACCTGTACTAGAACCAAACTGTACATTCATGTGTATGTGTAAATAACGACAGCTTGTAGTGCAGCTCCGGTTGGTGCCTGTCGTGTATCAGTCACAGAGCTGAGCGTCCAGTTTCCTGAAAAGTAAAGACCAAAGATCTTCAAAAAAGGCAAAAGGGTCATTTAACAAAACTGACTGGGTTGAAGCAATTATTTCCAGAATCCAGAGACTTCTGAGCTTTTGTGAAAAAAAACCCCCAAAAAACATTGAAATGATCAAAAACATTTTTAACTTTCTTCTTAAGAAGCCAGAAAAAAAATCTATATATATATTATGTGTTATTTTGTTTTAAAACACATATAAAATAATGAAAAATATTCTACTTTTTTTCTTTTTATAACGCCCATCCATCCATTATCTCTACACCTTAATCCTCACTAGGGTGGTGGGGGGCTGGAGCCTATCCCAGCTGACTCAGGGTGAAGGCAGGTTCACCTGGACAGGTAACCAGTCTATCACAGGGCTACACTTAGAGACAGACAACCAAGCACACTCACATTCACACCTACGGACAATTTACAATCACCAATTAACCTCAGCATGTTTCTGGACTGTGGGAGGAAGCCGGAGAACCCGGAGAGAACCCACGCTGCCCACGCTGCTAACCCAAACCCTGCGGCAAATATATGAAAGAAAATGAGGCAAACTTAATGTTATTCTATCCAGTCAGAAATATCTTCAGAACATTCACACGTTTTGTTAAATGATCCTTGAAGACTGTACGTCTGAAACTGGATGCTGTTTGCACTGATGCACGAGAGGCACAAACTGAGGCTCTGCTCAGTGTAAATATTGTGAATATTCAAAGCTCCAAATGAGATGCCTTTCCTCCTCGTTATAGGGAGAGTTTACTGTCTGTGTTATAACATGCATGTACAAAAAACAAGATACTTGAGTCACTTTTTTTCTTAATATTTTGATACTAAATGCAAACACATATAATAATAAAAGAAAGAGTAAAATCCGTGTATATGGTACCGTGTAACCCGACTCAATTATAATCGAGCAGCTTGTGTTTATGCTTCATTGTGATCCACTTTGTGTATTTTTTACTGTTTTCTTTGTACAGACTCCAGATTTGCTGTCTTGTCTTAAACTGGAATGAAATGTGTTTGGATGTGGATTAAAGGCGAGTCAAAGACGAATGCTGAGACATGATTTTTCAGCACAATCACTCAGAGGATTTGTTACATAAGCGGTGTTTTCCCGTGCATTTATACACACACTGGTAAGCAGATTAGAGTGATTTTCTATCTGAATCCTAGTCAGCGGGACATGATATTTCCATTTAATGACAGCTTGGAGCTCACAGTAAGTTGTTCGCTTGTGCAGAGAACAGATCGGACATTTTCACATGATGTTTACATCCAAACTGGAATCACTGCGTCGAGCAATTCGTTGTTTGATTTTCACCAGATAAATAAAAAGCTGTTGATTATTGTTAAATATAAGTATATAAAATAAATAAGTATAGAGATTATTTTCCACACTATGCATGTAATGCATTAAGCAGGGAGGGAGGAAAGAATCCGATATTTTACTGAAGTACAAATATTTTATGACAAGAACCAGCAGATTCTACAGATATATTAAAGTGCTGCAACTGCTGAGCTACTTTATATACAGGGAGGTGGTTTAAATGGTTTGGGAAGAGGAAGAAACTAGATTAAAGCACAGATCTGCTTCCAGTTTTTTGGATTATTTTACTTGTTTAAACATTGAACAGTTATTTGTATGAAGAGCACTGGGATAGTGTACCTCCATCAAATCACTTTCCTCATATTAACAAGTCATGTGGATCTACACCAACATTTAGTGTATTCTTCCTGTAGCCAGGCTGCACCTCTTCACCAAGATTCATTAGATTTCAGCTGGTTTCTGACAGACTAATAAACGGCACTGAGCACAAACTGCTCTCAGCTCTCACCTTGATGGAAGAACTAGACGCTGTTTTATTGTGAAAGGATCAAAAGCCCAACATGTTGGAAACCTTGGACTCCGTTAATGCGCTGGATTCATTTCAAATTGTTCAGTTGATTTATCTGGAAAGGGACAGTTTACATGAGTCATCATTCAAATGAACGTAAGTAAGACAAGTTAGCCAGAATGCTAATGTTCATTAGCA